ATAATATGTATATTCCAGCATGTATAACATGTAACACAAGTTGTATGTAATCATAATATGGCTTTCCATGATAAAGAAAGTAAAATATTATAATCCCACCCATATTTTACATTTTTATAAAAAAATAACTTTATACCTGATTTAAAGAGAAAGTCTTTCGACCTGTGAAATAATGTTTTAATAATTGGTTATTTGGTTTTTATTTGTTTTTAAATGTAATATGAAAATTTAAATTTATTGTCCTTCAGTTTGATTGTCAATTTCAGTGAAGATTTCATGAACGCATCAATATACTTCATATGTGGAATTTTTAAAAATTATAATAAAAAATCATGGAAATTAAATTAAAAATTATAACTTTAAATTCCATTAAGAGTACTTTTGGATTTGTTTCAATTTTTATCTTGATGGAATAGAATAATCTAGAAATAATCTTAATTTATTTTATGCAAGAAAAGTAGACTTATCAAAATTATTTATTTATTTATTTTTTCATTAAATTTGCCACTGCGTTGTAATGAATCAAGCAAATGTGTTGTAGTTTATTCTGTCTTCTTGAATTCTTGATACATTTAACTTTTCAGCAGAAGATCTCTAGCCCACTGCCTTTTTAGTCGTCTTTGAGGCTCACTAGGTAACAGGGAGGAAGTAGAGATAGAATTGATCGAGGGGATTTGGATGGTTGAGAGTAGAAGAATGAAATGCTGTGTACTTGTTGTGTATGTAGAATTTTACTTTTGGTATGCTCATGTCTGTGTGTATGATGTGATTTGAAATAAACCAAGGGGCATTGACGATTTTATGAAGTATTTTGGATTGTGTGGTTTGAATTTTGTTTATGCGTGTGTGTTTTGCGGAACCCCTAAGTTCTGCTCCGTATGTCCATATAGGTCTTAGTATAGTGGTGTAGATTAGTCGCTTGTTTAGTAAGTTGAGTGGAGATCTGTAGTCCAAAAGATGTGACAGTTGTTTGTATAGTCTGGTCAGTTCTTGTTTTTTTAATTTATTGTGAATGTTCCAGGTGAGTTTTTTGTCCAAGTATAGTCCAAGATACCGTACATGTGTTTTTGAGGGAACTGTAAAATTATTTTTAAATCATAATAGAAAAAATGATATTAAATTTTATGATTTAAGTTAATCAAATAATTGAAGTATGGCATAACATAAAATATAAAAACAGCACACAATTAGGCAGAAATGTATGGTTGATAGTGGAAAATAGATCTGAAACTTCACGTTACGTTTATCTATAAAGCCACGAGTCTCTGACATACAAGTGGATTGTTAAGTTTCCAATGTTTTGCCAATGCAGACATCATTAGGGAAGAAAAATGAGATCACAGATATGTATAAAGAAAGAGAGAAAAAAAGTATTATCACTCTTTCTCTCTGCATATTTTTGATATATTTTTTTCTGTCCTGATGATGCCTGAATTGGCAAAACGTTGGCAAGTTAACCGTTCAGCTGTTTGTAAGAGATTCATGGCTTTACAGTCACCCATAAGCTTTTCTAACTTTTCGCTCATTTTAGTATTACTGATAGTATTTAATATCAATGGAATGAATAACGCCGATTAATGCATTGAAGCACAAAGCCTTTGAGGGCAAAGTGGATAAGCAGATATAAAAAAAAAAATTAAATGAAAAGAAAAAAAAATCAAAGGAATTATTTATAATGTGGGTGATTATGTTATGTATAGGAGGGAGTTAAAAAAAATGTTGTGAGATAAAGCGGTATCCATGAGGCAAGGATAATTTGATTATTTGGAGTACAGTCATCCTTGGTTACACCGCTGTATAAAATTGATACACAAATTAAAACATGTCAAGATAAAAAGAATATAAAAGATATAAAGTATTTTATATTTATATTTATATCATGAACAAGCTCCATAAATTTATTGATGTAAATTTCTATTTTGTTTATTTTTTCTTCATTTTATTTTCTCTTCCACTAAGTAGGAGTATAATATGAAAAAAATGTGAATCTAATCCATAAATTTAGGGTGAAAAAAAAATTTAAGCTTTGTTTTCACTCTGTAGCTTATATTTATTAAATTGTTTTTCTATCAAATTGGATTAAGCAACATACTTCAGTTATTGATGGGATAGTTTGCATCTGTGTAACTACACAAATCTTAAATTTCTTACTTTTCTGCTGGAAATTGGGCAATTCTTTATATGTACTTTTTTTTGTAGATCTTGATGTCTACTATCAACCTTTTAAATATTCTCTACTTACAGGGTGTCCTGTAGAGATGGTCTTTATAATTATTTTATATTACAATATATTATTTGTTATTATTGTATATTATAAAAATTGAAGTATCCCAATAAACATGTTGTGCTATTAAATTTCATTGAATTGTACAAAAAAACAACAGAAATTCCGATTTGTGTCCATTTCAACTGAGATGTTCACAAAATCACAATTTTTGAGTAGAGCTGTTATTTTTGCTTGAAGGAAATATTTTAATCTTTCAAAAAAAAAATTAATGTACCTAAATAAAACTCCAAATAAACACTCTGATTATTATCTTAAATTATTACAAGACAGTAAAGTATTAAGTTGTTCTGATTTATGGTTTAATAGTTTCATTATATTAATACAAGTTTGTTCTCTTTATGCTTTGACAGTTGGGCTGGTTAAGAGGAGTTGCATTATTTAAGTTTTAATTTTAACTCAACATTTGTTTTAGTTTTGGAGAATTTTATATAGTACATTGTATATTATTTATGCTAACAATCATTATGTTATTAAAAAATTAATGGATAACAATTTTGAAAATTGGATGTTTGTAAATAACTCCATCATAGAAACATTAGTTTGTGAATTCCACTTAGCCTTCTATTTTTTTTATTAACCATGCCATTGAATGAAGATGTTGATAGTTTAAAGATAAAAAAAAAAAAAACAAGATTCTTTTTTTTTTTTTTTAAATTGGAAAGTTAAATAATGTTTCACCAATTAAAAAAAAATGGTTAATTTTATTTTTTAACCTTTAGTGCTGGTGAAATAGGATTTTGTCTAAAATCTTAAAGCCAAAAATAGAAAAAATATATATATATATTTTTTGTGGGAAGTTGGTCTTACATCTTATTTTTAAGACAAACTGCAGCAACAGTATGTCCCTAGCAACTCTGCAGATCATAATACAGCGAGCGCCTAGACTAGGTACAAATTGGAATGTTTTTATGTTCACAGACATGTCGCGTTTTGTATTTATAACGATCGTAGATACCAAAGAGTCTACTGAGAACAGGGAGTGGGTACATTGCCACAGTTTGTGCTTCCTTCGATGCAGTCTAAAGGGGCAACTTACCCAGTAGGATGGACTATGCTCCATATTGTGGAAGCTAATTTCATTGCAGTTCGTTTTGTTCCAGAACTTACGGAGGAATATATTCCTCAAAACAGGGCCATGATTGGTACATATTTCCATTCTCTTGATGACAACACAGCGAAATCAGTGACAACATTGTAAACAGTATGCTCCATAGGCGCAAGGAGATAGTAAATAACAGAGGTTATTACACAAATTATGAAACTTTTATAATTTGCACTCCTAAAAACAAGGTCACATAAACCTTTAATTTTATTGTTTTTTATAAAAAATGTTTGAGGTCAAATTTAATCTTATTTATAATAATTTTGAATGTATTTTACAAAAAAATAAAATAAAAATTCTAGAGAAAATAAACTGGCGCATCAAAATCAATGAAGCAAAATGCAAACATATTACTTTCACCCTGCGACTCAGATCCTGTCCCACAATCCTTTTTAATTCAATTCCACTTCCCTACTCAGACACAGTCCGTTACCTTGGCTTCCTTCTTGACAAAAGACTAACTTGGAACCCACATACCAGACTTAAAAGACAAGAACTTAACCGACGATATGGCCAGCTGTATTGATTACTAAGTAGGACATCCCATCTTTCCATTGAAAATAAACTTTTAATCTACAAGACCATACTGAAACCTATCTGGACCTACGGACTTGAACTGTGAGGAACTGCTAAACATTCGAATATCAAACGCATCCAATCCTTCCAGTCCAAAGTACTTAGAACAATAGTCAATGCCCCATATTATGTCAAAAACAAGACCCTACACCATGACCTTAACATCCCATTTGTCCTCGACATCATCCCAACCAGATTCTCAAACTTTCACCAAAACCTTATCCATCATCCAAATCCTCTAGCTCAATCCCTATCCAGCTCCCTTCATCCCTACAATCCTCCACGAAGGTTAAAACGGCAGTGGCCCAGAGATCTCTTGTAAATATGCTTCTGGAGTCCTGGCCAGCTTCTCCACTCATGTCCCGAGCGTCTGTGGCTCTAGTGCCCTCTTTCAGTCTCCATTGGCTTCTAATACTAGTGATTCGGCTGGAAAAGTGGCACTGGGATCTCCTGGAGTCTTGCTTTGCCTTCCACATGTGGGGGAAAAAGCCTGTTATTTATTTTTTTTTTCTTTTATTTTCTTTCTTCATCAGTATTATTTATTTACTTTTTATATTTATATTTATTTCTCTATTATTTGTATATATTGTTTGAATGAGAACTCTTAGCCCTAATACTTATAGCCCTCCAGTGGCTGATTGTATTATTATTCAATAAATAGATAAAAAAAAAAAAAAAAGAGAAAATAAATCATACATAACTAACAATATCCCTATTCATTTTTTAGCAGTATAGGTTGTAGTTAAATATATTTAGAAGATAATATATTAAAATATATAAAAATAAGGGAGAAATAAAAAATAAAACAGGTATGTATATGAAAGTTTAAAAGTAAACTAATTTAAAAACAAAACAAATATAACAACATTGCATAGAAAGAACATGAAATTTCGATCATGAATATGTATATGTATTATGATATAAATTAAATACTTGAAGTTTTTATTAACTAATAATCATAAAGCAAATATTTAGATGTTGATTATTCATGTAATTCTGACTTTTCACTTTTCACTTTGTTAGGCTGTGAAAATTGACTAATCTAAAAACATTAAACACTTTATTAATTATTAATTCATAGTATACAAGTATTGAGGATATATATAATTCAAATTACAGGCATGCATTCAAGAAAAGATCATAGCACCTTAACTGGGCCATATCTATTTTAAGGATTCTAAATACTCTACTGTGTTTGCTTCTAAGAAAATTCTCATAAAGATAATAATTGTTTACTTATTTCAAATTCCTTCCTTAAACGTTAAATACTTATTATTTAAATGATGTTTTTTTACCTTAGCAAACAATGTGTGTGAATTTTATTTTTTGAAACATGAAAGTGACACTTAACAAATAATTATGGGTACTTAACTAAGTCAAAAGTAATGAATATTCAGACATTTTTTATTATTTGATGAGAGCAAACTATTGCACCCTGATTGTGCTATGATGGTAATGACCTTAACCTCCTTGTTTCCCAGTGTGAGTTAGTGCAATATAATGAGAGGAAGAAGAACTCCCCGTATAGTGGCTCTCAAATGACATATCCTGAAAAAGAGTAGTAATTGTTGGAAAATTCCAGGTAAATCAAAAATTTAACTTTGAATATTTAATGTAAAATTGTATTGAAATTAGTAATATCTAACAAATTTAATTGTGAAACTGCAATTACTAACAAAAAGTGCATCGTAGTTTTTTCATGATTATCCATTAAATTTTTTAAATGTTATTAGTTTTTTTATAGTCTATATATTTGTTTAATAATATTAGAAAAATGGCAATATCTCTTTAGCAAATATAGTTATATAATGTTTTTTCAATAAATAATACAAGTGATTAAAATTTTATATATTTATATTGCCTTGTTAAATAAGTTTTAATTGAAATTTTCTTATTTTAATTATGTTTTGGTTAAATGAATTAATATTGTAGGTTTATCACAAAAATTCAGTAAGTAGCATCTCATAAAATTAACAAATGATGTTTAATAAATTAAATAACTAAGGTCTTTGATTAATTTTTCTCTCCGTGAAGTCTGAATATTGCGCACTTAGTGTAAGTATTTTTGATAAATAAAAAAGTTTGCTTTATTTTAATGCACTTTATTGTGCATCGTTTTATCGCATTTACAGATAAATTCAAAATTTAGCCAAATGTACTTAAAGTTTTGCTCCATCAAAAATTAACTTAGTGACTTTTTGCATTAAACCGATGAGATATTCTGTATTATATAATGAATAAGAAATTTTGACAATTAAATATTAATGAGAATTACTATGTTTGTTTAAAATAAAAGTTAATGTTTCTTTAATTATTGATAAAGTTATCTACTATTGCTTAGAACTTCCTTTGATACAGACATTTTACACCTGTTATTGAATAACAACCATTTACAAGCAGAAATTCAAAAGTTGAAATTGTTTGTCAAAATTGTATTTAAAGATGTTAAATCCCTGCCCATTAAAACATAATGAATATTTGCACCATTTTTTCATTCATTTTCTAAATTATTTTCAATTAGACTAGTCAGTATATTTTTTGGCAGAAGTAAAGGATTTTTTTTTTAGATTACCCCTATTTTGTGACAGATATGATGACTAGGATTTAATTTTGGGTGGCAGGAGGCTTTAGCCCCAAAGCTTTTTTTTTTTTCATATATATGTAACAATAATTACTTTGAAAAAAAAAAAGAAGAAAGATTCTAACAACCAATATGAAATGGTGTTTATTTAATCCTTGAAGTCCTATTAAATGCAATTACACAAACAATAATACTTTAAGAGATAATTTATTAATATTTTTTTCCATAAAACATGGTTAAATTTTACCATTTTGGGGAGAGGGCTTCAGCCCGAAAGCCCCCGTAGATCCGCTTGTGAATGTGATATAACAATACATTATTAAGATTAGAGTTCAATTTATTTTTTGGAAGAAATATAATAAAATCTCTTTATTTTTGACAATGAAAACTTTCAGATATACAACAATTGGTTTATTAGTTGATTTACATGTTAAGTTACGTTTCAGGAAAATCATTATCATCTTCAAAACTTAAATTCCCATATTTTCATAGCGATTCATGGTTAAAGTTTGATGTGCTCCTTTGTCATGTTTTTAAAATTCTATTATAAATAAAATAAGATACAGTTATACTATCTGGAGCATAAACATTCCTATGGACCAATAATTGGGTATCTGCAAATAATACAATTTCATGGAAATACAAATACAATTTTTAATTTGACTAATTATTCACAGAAAAAATAGAAGAGTTTTATAAATAAATGAACTGCAATTGTTCTCAACTAGATGAGATTTATATTCAGAGAACCATTTTAATTTTGCCAACTATAAATTAAATTATAAAACATGAATTTTAAAATTAAGCTTCCTTTTTTGTTTTTGATTCAATTAAATTAAATAATCATATCTATATAATTATAACAATTGAACTTGGTTTATGTTTTATTTATCTGGGTCAATCGCAGGTAATTATAATTTGAAAATGTTTGAAATTTAAATTGATATCTTCACAGAAAGTAATTTTGTAATGATATTAATAATATATATATATATATATATATATATATATATATATATATATATATATATATATATATATATATATTATCAATTTATGAATACATGATACAACTAATATTTTCATATTTATACATTATTAACATTTATGATGTTAAAAGAGTACTTTACTGAATAGGAGAGATGGTAAAAAATAATAATAATAATAATAGTTCTCTGACTTTTTTGCTAGCAAAAATTAATATAACTTTGTAAAGAAGAGATATTGTAGTTGGTTGATTCATCTCCAATGATACACAATTTTCCCTCCTAATTGAACTGAATGAATTAATTGGATAATTAATCAGTAATATAACTTGGCACCACAAAATTAAAACAGATGTGAAAATCATAAAATTAAAGTTAAAATGATAAAATAAAAACTACACAGTTAAAATTATTTCTTATGAATTATTTAATGCAGTCATTGAGTAAATTTGGGTTGTAAATTTTATTCAGCAATTTAAATGCACTAATGCACTAAAAAGTGTTTTCCCATACCTGAAGAAAACCATTGTTGGATTATTTGATTTACATTTGTTGGATGTATTTTTAAAACTTATTTCAAGGACATAAATGATTATTTTTCCTTCTTTTTTTTTTTTATGAAAATGAATAATATTTTGAATTATCTAGAATTAAATATTTCAATTAGTTTGTATTGTTTAATAAATAAAGGAAAATTCCCTCACTTGGTCTTGAACTCGAATACGATTTCAGAAACGAGAAAGTGCAATTGCAGTTTTACAGGAAATGAGGTGTAATTCTCAGGATGTAACAAGCATGAAGGCAACATTTGTTTCCCACATCTGGTGATGAGTATCACTAACTATAATGGCCAACACTAGCGGATCCAGGATTTAATTTTGGGGGGAGCTTCAGCCCGAAAGATTTTTTTTCATATATGTATAACAATAATTAATTAGAAAAAAAAGAAAGAAATTAATTAACTATATGAAATGGTGTTGAAGTCCTATTAAATATAATTACACGAACAATAATACTTTAAGAGATAGTTTTTAATTTTTTTCTGTAAAACATGGTTACATTTTACCATTTTGAGGGAAGGGTTTCTGAGCAAGTCACTATTTGATTATCATTTGGCAGCTCATGGTGTACATCTAAGTCATGGCAAAGGCATTCTAAGGTGACTTTTATCTTATCTTACTTACAAATAATTAATTTAAAATTTGTTTTTGCAATTTTTGGTGAAAAGCCTCGCCAAATAACAGAAGAGGTACATATCCGACATTCTCGGGCGGATCTACGAGGGCTTTCGGGCTGAAGCCCCTCCCCTCCCCCTCCCCAAAATGGTAAAATATAACCATGTTTTATGGAAAAATATATTAAAAAATTATCTCTTAAAGTATTATTGTTCGTTAATTACAATTAGAAGGACTTAAGGAATCACTTAAACATCATTTCATATAGATAGTTAGTTTCTTTCTTCTTTTCCAAAGTAATTATCGTCATTCTTGTGAAAAAAAGCTTTCGGGCTGAAGCCCCCCTCCTCCCCCCCAAAAAAATTAAATCCTGGATCCGCTAGTGCTGACATTGAATACTTTTTGAGTTTAGCAAGGGTTGTAGCGTAACAGTTGCTACCAAAAACGTTTGTGATATTAATCAAAATGCATTAGACGTTCGTAAATGAAAAAGGTGGTTTTTCATGTTGAAATACGGGAATTTTGATCTTTTCGATTCGTATCGATAAGGAAGACCAACAATCTTTGACAATAATGTGTTAAGAGCGGAAGTCGAAACAAATCCATATAAGACAATCGAAGACTTGTCAAACAGTCTTAACTAACCTTGGTCGACCATCCAAGAACATTTGCAGCAGATTGGGAAATCACCATAGCAACTTATCGCATTAACGGCACAATACAGAAGCGTTTTTTTATTGCTTAATCATCGGAGATGAAAAATGGGTCCTGTATGATAATACAAAACGCAAAAGACAGTGACTCTCTTCAAAAGAATCCCCACGAAGTATTGCTGAGCCAGGTTTACATCCCGAAAAAGCTCTTTTGTATGTTTGGTGGAGTATTCGGCGTTGCTCATTTTGAAGTGCTGAAGTGCTGGATGCAGATTTTTATTGTGAACAGTTGGATCATGTAAATCAACCTGTAATTGATAAGCGGCCAGAGATAGTCAACAGAAAAGAGTTATTCTGCAATATGAAAATGCAAGGTCGCACCCTGGAAAAAATTAATGAATTGGGATTTTTTTTTTTTTTTTTTAAACTTCTTTATTGAGATATTACAATCATTCACATTCAACGACAATAGTAATAGTGATATAGAGTAGCTCATTCATACCATACAATAAATACAGATAATAAACGGCAATATAATAATACTAAAAGTAAATTGTATATAAACTAAAAGATATTAAACTAAATAAAAATAAACCAATCTAACAAACTAAAAAACCAGACATACATGACTTGAGTGAAGAATCTGGCCATTGCCATAACTCCTATATATTCTTAAAACAGGTCTCTGGGCCACTGCCGAATTGGGATTGAGGCTCATGGAGATTGAACCTCATCCACCATACTCACCTGATGTTGCACCATCAGATTTCCGTTTGTTCGGATCGTTTTAACGCTTTATAAATGGCAAACAAATTACAAATTTGAATGAAGAGAAGAATAGTTGGGGTGGTCAGTCAAAAAAGAAGGCAAAAATAAGTCGTAATATTTATTTTTACATATGCCGACGTTTCGACCTGAAGTTCAGGCCTTCATCAGGGCTAAGAAAATAACCAGATAACAAGGTATGAGAAACATAAGTAGTGATGGTAAAAAAAAAAAAATTAAAAAAAAAAAAAGTAAAATGAAATTGTTAGAATAATAACAATAGTATGAACTAAGAAATTAAACTATTCTTCTCTTCATTATCCACGAGTCAACCATTTACCAATTACAAATTTGAATGATGTCCAATAGGCCATCTCTATATATCATATTCAAAAACCAGTTGATTTTTATCGATTCTGCAT